TCATTTTATTTTGCAGTTTTTCACATTTTTTTTAAATTAATGCGTATAATGCGTGTGCGTGTGTGTGTGCGTATGAGTGCGTCTAAAGCACACTCTAACGAGAGTTAGAAAAAAATAAATTACGTAATAATAATTCAATTTTTCTTTTTTTTTTTTTTTTTGTTTCTTTTGTGATTGTTCGTGTTATCGAATATGATATTATTTCAACGTAAATTATTATCATTATTATTATTCTTATTCTTATTAATATTAATACTATTATTATTATTTTATCATGCCAAAGTCGATAATTATAAAAATAAAAAAAAAAGTTTTATTATTATTATTATTTTATTTTATTTTTTTTCTTTCGTCTCAGGTCATTCAAAATTTTAATAGTAGTAGTGGTAAAAATAATAATAATAATAATATTAATAACAATATGAATGAGTCACAATAATTTTTTATTTACGTTCCTGTGTATTAATAAAATTATTTAATATTATTATTATTATTTTAATTCAATTAATTGATATCTCTTATAAAGAATCTGATTAGATATGCGTACACGAATGCGTTTGTGACGTACAAACGTGCGTGCGTGTACGTAAATAAATTATTATTATTAATATTTTTACGATTTTTATCATTTATTATATATATATTATATATATATAATATTTTTTTTTTAATTATAAATTATTTATAAATATAAATTTATTTTAAAAAAAAAATGATTACCGTTTAAATACACTCGATTTTTTTTTTAAATTTTCCAACCATTGATTACGTTTTAAATTTCATCTTTTTGAATTTCCACGATGACGTCATTCATTTTTCCAAAATTTTCACACAAATCCATTTATTTTTTTTTTTTTTCTCATTGCCTGATAATGAATAAATACATATTTAAACTCCGCCCATAAATTAAAATTTTCATTTTTTTCATTGGTTGAGTTTTTCTTTTTTTTTTGTCATTCGAAATATGATTGGTTAATTTTTAATTCAAGGTCGTTTGTATCGCGCGTTTTAAAAGGGGTAGGAGGAGAGGAAAAAAACGGAGAAGGATTTTTAATATATATATATATTTTTTTTAATCATTTAATTTAATGAGTGCAGAAAAAATTTATTTGTTTATTTATTTATATATATTTATTTATTTTTTTTTAAATTGAAAAAAAAAACAACATTTCATTGTTAGTAATAAAAGACAAGTTAATAATAATAATAATAATAATTTTAAGTTTTCGAGACAAAAAAAAAATTATTATTATTTTTTTTTATTTATTCTTGTTATTATTAATAAATAAATAAATAAATAAATCATAAAAGTATGTTTTAATTAAAACGGTATTTATTAACAGGTAAAATTTAATAATATTTATATATAATATATATATATATTTATTTACAATCTAAGAAAATTTTTTTTTTTTACGCACGTGTGTGTATGTGTGTGTTTAGCGTGTACGAAATCAACAAATAAATAAAATTATTTATTTATTTATTACTCTCAAAACTCTTTTTGTTATTATTATTATTATTATATATACATAAATTTTTTTTAATATATATATATATATATATATATATATATATTATTAAAAAAAAACAAACAACGTAAATAATAATATTTAACAATTTTTTAAAATGATTTTTAATATCGTATATATATATATATATATATATTATAATTTTTATTGCCTTGTTTTTTTTTCAAATATTTTTTCCCGCCATTTTTTTTTTAAATCCTCTCCGCGTAATAAAAAAAATTAAATTCCGTTTTCCTTTACCCCCCCACTCCCCACACCACTCCAACACTCGCACCGAAAAGAATTTTATTTTAATTAATTTATAATGTCATAGAGTAAATAAACATTAAATTATTTGATTTTATTTTAAAAATTTAATCGACCGTTTAATTTTTATATAAAATTACAATTATTTTATTTAATTTTTCTTCCCTTTTCTATCTCTATCTCTATCTATTCATCTATCTCTTTCTTTCTTTCTTGTTTAAATATTGTTTTCATTAATTAAAAAGGAAAAAATATATATATATGTGTTTGTTCGTGTGTGTGTGTGTGTCTGTAACGCTACAATATGTCTCGACAATAAATAATAAAAATAAATTTTAACAAAAAATTATATATATAATTGAGGCATTTTATAGCGTTTTTAATTAAACTCTTAACCCATTTTAACCGTTAAATATATATATATATATATATATATATATATATAAATTTTTTTCAACTGTTTTTAACATTTAGTGATATTAATGATCCGCCATTTTATTTTTTACTTAAACAATTTCTATTAATAATAATAATAATAATAATAATAATAATAATAATAATAATAATAATAATAATAATAATAATAATAATAATAATAATAAATTACATTAATTTTAAATAAAGTTTTTTTTCTAATTTAATTTTTTAAAAATTGTAAAAATTTTCACGAATCATCTATATGTATTTATTAATTAATTAATTTAATTAAAAAATATTAATAAATAACATTTATTTTTTTTCTCGTTTTTTTTCTCATCGAATATTATTAAACAATTTTTAATTATTATCATTTATTATTATTATTATTAACTATTTTTTAATTTATTTATTTATAAATCGTTACAGTTATCAACAAATTTCATTCTAAAGAGAACAAACTTTTAAACTTAAAAAAAAAATTAAATGTTACTATTATTATTATTATTAAGTAATTATTTTGTAATAATCTACCAACTATTATTATTATTATTATTATTTATACATTTTGGAATGCAGCCTTTATCGAATGAAAAAAGGTTTCAGAGAAAACATTTAAAAATTTTTTTTTAAAAAAAAAAAACGGTCAATCATTTATTTATTTACGCTTTATTATTATTATTAATAATTATTAATTAATAACAAAATAATTATTTAACGTTTTCCGAATAAACGTCTTTCTCCCCTCTCTCTCCCCCTCGATCTTTGTTTATAATCTACTATCCATTATCATTATCAATAATAACTTTTCCTATGCATTTATTTACTATATATATGTATGAACATTTCTCTTTATTTCAGTTTTTATTTATTTATTTATTTATTTAATTTGCTTTCTATTCGATAAATAATTGTTTAATAACTAACAATAATGATAATAATAATCATAATAGTAAAAATCATAATAATCATATTAGTAATAATAATAATAATACGTGTCTTAACAGTAGTGAAAAGCCAGGGAAACGAAGAGATAAATTAATAAATTTTCGAAATTGTATTTTTTTTTTTTACACAATTATTAATAATACATAAAACGGGGAGGAAGGAGGGAGGGGAGATTTTTTTAATAAAATTTATCTGGGTGGGGGTGGTGGGAATAAAAATAATAAAAAAAAAACCTTCTTCGCCTTACGACTTTTTTAATCAATATAATTACGAATAAGTTTTTTTTTTTTAATTTTATTTTTCAATTAATTTATCATCATTATTATTATTATTATAATTACATTGATTGTCTAACTGACCGGGTCCCCCTTGATTAATAATAATAATAATTAATTTTTCGTTTTTTTTTAAAATACATACATACGTACATAAATAAATAAATAAAATTAAATAAAGGCTCGATATATTTGAACTTTTTATTTATTAACAATTAATAAACATTTATTAAAATTTTTTTTTTAAGGCAATATACGTTATCACCTTTTTTTTTTTAAGGCTTAAAATTTCATTTTCTATTAATTAATAATAATTATGTATTTATTATTATTATTTATTAATAATAAAAAAATTAAGAAAGGGAAAGGGGAAAAAATTAATAAATAAATAAAACAAATGAAACTTAATTATTTTTTGGGCCAAAGATTTTTTAATTAAATAAATAATTTTTAATGAGGAAAGTACTCCTTATTATCATTATCATCTAACGCGAAAAACTATAATAATAATAATAATAATAATAATTTCGTAACATTGAAATTTTAGACTAATAAAATTTGGCACAAAAAAAATAAATTTAAATTAAATGAATAAATAATTTTTTTTTTCTGCTCTCCATTACAATAAAATTAAAATCGATACGAATCGATCGATCGATAATAATAATAATAATAATAATTACGAATCGTTTTTTTTTAACCGTTTCCGTCGTGTTTAACTTAATCCAGTCTAAAAATTACTCGAAATGTACGCATACACACACACACACACACACGTATATAAATGAATTAAATGCATTAATTAATTTATTATTAAGAGACTATTTTCAAAAAAAAAAACGTCATCATCGATGATGTCGTCATCAACAACGTCTTCATCTTTTATATACAAAAGAAAAAAAGTATTAGGTTAGAATAATAAAACTCTCTACCTGTGTAATGAAATTTTTTACAAATTTTTAAATATTCATTATTAGATTTTTTTATTAATTAGCTAATGATGATTTATATTATTATTATTATTATTATTATTATTATTATTATTATTATTATTATTATTATTATTATTATTACGTCACAAAATTAATAAATAAAAATTTAAATTTTTTTTTACTAGAAATTTACAACCGTTTTCTATATCTTTGTCTATTATAAATAATAATAATAAAATTTTTTTTTTTTAAAAACATTTTTATGTAAATACGTCATTAATGTTTACTATTTTTTTAAAAAGTACCTTTACGACGTATTTATATATATTATTATTATTATTATTTAATAAAAATAAGGCGTAGAAGCAAAAATTAAATTTTTTTCGGGGGGGGAGGGGAAATTTAAAACAAAC